GGATATGTGTGTATAGCATGGTTTCGATGACGGCCTAACCCGACTTGCCGACGACAGCAGCAAGCTTCCTCCCCGGGTGGGCGTTAATGTTTGTGTGTTGTTCTTGAAGTAGCATCGACCGAGCTATAGCAATACCCCTCTTCCAGCCTGCATGTGGATATTTTTTGCGTGTATCACTATCTGTATACTGGCCCGACGATGAGTGGTTGCAACTGTGCCACCGAAATGGCAAGTGTCATCGCTAGTTGCCACTTGAGTGTAGCAACTGGTTTCAGCTGGCCAAAGTCTCCCGCGCGTTCTTCCATCCAAATTGCTCCAGCTACATATGGTGGGTGATGAAGGGATGCCATGATGAACTCATCTGTTGTCTAGAGTATTTAAACATGGGAACCTAGAAGTGAAACAGTCGCCTGTTTAAATCGACGAGATCTCCCGCCTCTCGCTGTATCTTTCGACGACATCGGTACACTCACGTGGTGAGAGCTATAGACTTGTACATATTTGACCATATAGCGTACCAGTTTGGTGAACGCACTCTCTCTCTCGGGCCATTTTCGTGTGTGTACAATTTTTTCTCGTTGTGTGTTCGGCCAAAAGGGCGGAGGCTTCTCGGGTGGCACTCACCGACGAAGTTCGGAGGAACAAGCGAGCAGCAGAGCGGCGGAACCGAGAGCTTGCGCAGCTCAAGCAACAGGTACATTCTTCGCACACACGCGTTTGCTGAATCAAACAGAACATATGTACAGTCATTTCTCATGAGCCGATGGAGAAAGGAGAGGAAACGAGATACTGTAAGTATATCCTCAATGACGCGAACCATCTGTCCGTGGGCCCCGACGATGGGCGAAAAAGTTTCTGCAATGGCGATTGCTGTAAGACTTGTCTGCAAAAGAAATCACAATGTTGCAATATGGTCACCCCGGTGGTCTAGACGTATATCGTAAACCGCTAGTCAATCGCAGAGGTCGTGAGTTCGAATCCCTACGGGGTGAAAAAATTGCAAACTCTGCGGGTGAAAGCGAAACAAAGCTGAAAAGCGCTCGTGAGTACCAAACTTTGGCGTTAGCACCGTTGACGAGGGAAAGGGACGGCTGGACCCTTCCCGCCATACGATAAAAACAAAACTTCAGCACGCACCGCAGGAGGAAGGTGGGGCATGAAAATAAATAAAAATGAAGAAAAAAGCCCTGGCGTTTACCCCCCTCCTGTGTGACCCTGGATGGTTGTAGTTGTACGAAAATTCACACTGAAAAGTGTAGTACTCTACATACATACGCTGAAATAGTGTAGTACACGTCGTACCACGAAAAATGGGGGGACTGTCGCCACAATAACAAGGACGAAAACACACAACACAACAACAATATATTGTGTGATGACATCAACGACGTACGATCATTCATTGTGAGTACTCACTGCCAATACTGATTTGAAGTATCTGTGAATACTCGCTGCCAATAGTCTACTGATTTCCAGCGTTTTTGCGGAAAGCAAGGGTCGATCTGTGCAGGAGGGGTAAGAAATTTGGAGAGATGCAGAGAGAGGTAAAGTTTCTCTACATAGATAGAGAGAGAGGAGGCAATATGCGAGCGCCCACCCCTCGCCCCTTCTTTAGTGCCCGCTCTCCGTCGACTTTACAGCTCACCCGTCGGTTATAGTATCTGGTACTGCTACATGTTTCCAGGTCGTGGTTGCCAGCCGCAACCTCGCCCTGTCCGAGGAGGAGAGAGTAGCCGAGACAACCCGCCTGCAAGAGAAGATCGACGCGCTTAAACTGGAAGCTTCACGGCAAGTACCATATGAACTATGTACACCCAACAACCTCATTTTACGTTGCTTCGCGAAACTTCTTGCCTGTACATAGCGCAAGGGGAAATACCTTGAGTTGTAATACTGACGGCTTGAAAACATTTGGGAGAAACTGCAGGTCGTTATGAAAAGATTGCCTTCTTCGCCTGTTCGGGTCCACGAGAAAGTCCAGCGCCAGTCGTCTGGGTTGTTGCAAGCCTCTGTGCAAAATGGCTCAGGATTATGCACCATGTCCTCTGCACCAAACGGGGGCATGGATGGTTCGTGTGTGGATTTGTCCGTGAATGCTTCCAAGTGCGATGGATACTCCTCATCTGTTTCCCTTGGGGGGAAAAGCTACATTTCACGAACGAACGGCGACATGGACTGTTGCACCGCCAACAACGTCGAACTGCTCATGCCATGTACGATGGAGTATATCCCATCAGCCTTTCGGTCTTCTTAGAGCCCTCCACGTGTTGCTCGTTTGGCAAGGCAGCGTTCAAGTTATGGAAATAGAAGAAATGCAAAATCTTTTGTTGCACATTAACAATAATGCTGTTACTCTGGGCCCGTTGGTATATTTTCCTTGTTCTTCGCTCTCGGTTCCTCTGTCTCTTGTTCCTAACCTACGTCACCACCAGCTTGGAAAGGCAAGCCCAAGACAGCAAAAGCCTGGCCGCACGAACGGTAACGACGGTGTCCGCAAGAGCCTTCCGAAACGCCAGCCAGGCGTCTCAAACCCTCGCCCCACAGGGACTCCTGAGCAAGCTGGTCGGGTCGATCAACCCACGCTTTCACCGAAGCAGCCCGAGCCATGATGCGTCCGCCGCCCCCACAACGGGGGAGGGAAGCAAAGGCGGCGGTAGGGTGGGCGGCAGCGACGCTGGTACTGCTAGGGGTACTATCCGACCCGCACCGTACAGAGCGCGAAGGTCGCCCTCCCCCCAAGCCCCCGCGAGCACGATGGTCAGGGCTGGAAAGGGTGGGGGGAGGCGGGCGGTGTCTTTCTCCGCTCCGCCACCCTCGGGGCCTACGCCTCCGCTTGCTGAACGGGCCGTGAAGGGCATCTTAGCCAGGGTATTTCCAAGCAGAGACGAGGCGGCGAAGAACTCCGGTGTCGATGTTGGCGGCGTGAACGCGAAGGCCTCCGCTGCTGAGCAGCAGGCACACCACCAGTCAAAAAAATGCTCGGGTGGTACTGACAATGTCGCCAAGGTGGTGGCGCAGAAAGCAAGGGGGTGGGGGGCGAAGAAGCGCGCTGGTGCTCGCGAAGCAGAAACACTCTCACCCGAAGCTGTCGCCAGCGCCGACAACAGCAGAAACAAACATATGCTCAGCCGCTTCGGCAGGCCAAACCAAGTCACCGTGAAGTCCAAGTCCGCGTCGCCTCCTCCCTCGGCTGGCAGCGCCGAGAACGACAGGGTTTCAAGCGGGGCTGCGGGAGTTGATCAGGCGCCGAACCCAAGCAGCAGCGGCGGCAAGGTAGGACGGGGTTGGAAAGGTCCGTTGGCGAGAGATGCAAGGAAGACCCACCTATCAGCCGCGCCGGTGGCGGTAGCTGAGGCGGCGGTCATTCCTGCGGCCGTGGCTCGTCACGAGGCCCACTGGGCTCCCGATGTGGTCGATGCTAATACTACGTCCAAGGCCGCCGCCGTTGGATCGACAGTTGAAAACGGGAAGCTTTGCGGAGAGAAAAAGGTCGTCGCACCAAAAATCATCTCGGGGACACCGCCAAACAGCCCTGACCAGCACAGTCTTGGCCACGGCAGCCGCCGTCAACGCCATCGCCATCGCTGCCGCCGCTCCGACGAAGAAATTGAAGAGACACTTCGGTGGCCCGACATCAACGTCGCCGAGTCTACCGATAATAACGACAGTTCGGTCATGAACGGAATTCGCGCGAGGTGGGCGAAGCTTGTCGGTCGCGGCCCTCCACGGGACGACCGGAGCGACGATAGCACGGTGAACGCCGGTGGCAATATCATCAAGAACGACGACGGTATTGCGTCAGTGACTGCAGGCGCAGCAGCTCCGAGGCGCTTGTTCCGGGGACGGTTCCGGGGATGGTTCCGCAAGGGGAGAGGTGGGCTGGCAACCGGCAAGGAAAACGTTGAAGACGACGTGCTAGATATGGTGGGGCTGGGGGCTTGATTGTGATCATGCTCTTCTCGTGTCAGAGCGGAAGTACTTGCCAGACTTTATGGGTTTCAAGTTATATGGGTCGTGTTCTTTGATTGCATTTGCTTTGTCTAAATTGTGATGACAATGCTTCGAATCCACGAGTAGAAAGAAGGGCCATGCACGCAGTACCATCGGGTACAGGTATAGCATGCATGGCGGGGGGGGGGGGGGGGGGGNGGGGGGGGGGGGGGGGGGGGGGGGGGGGGGGGGGGGGGGGGGGATGATGTCTGTGTTGGTGTGTAGTGGACTCGGATCCCAACGAGAGGTCTCGGCCCGACAAGGAAGATCGATCGGTAGGGGCATGTAATCTGCAATCCTGAACTCCTGTAAAAAAACTGGAGTGACGTCATATCGAACAAGTATGCAAAATACATGTGCTGGTTTGTGACTGTCAAATATTAGTTGTGGGCATGCAGGAAATATATCTTTTGGTGTAGGCTACATGCGGTGGGTTGTCTTGCTGGTGTGCCAACTGCGGTTCTCCATTTTATTCGTAGGGCCGCGTCTGTGTAGACCGTTTAGACTTCACGTTATGGCTTGCCGTTAGCATTTGTGTTTTCTCTTTGAATACGGCATGATAGTGCGTCGCCAAGCTTTGCGTGATTCTGCTTCATATCAACCCTGTCTGAAGCCTTGTGTTTTGCCACGTCGCGTTACGATGGGCATCAACGGGGTTACTTCAGACCGAGGCCAAAAGTTGCCGCTGTTGTAGCCGTGGCGTATCTGTGAACCTCGGAAGGCTGTGAATGAACGTAATGCAGTACAACCTTTAAGGGTCAGGGCGAATGAATGCCCTTGCCGACGACAAGTCACCTGTCCGCCGAAAGCGACGCTTACAGCTGTCACGGTGACCAACGAGACTGATGGATGTGCCGGGTGTGATGGGAGGGCGGCGGTGCTTCCGTGCCCGCCTGACAAGGTTTTTGTGCGCGTTGTGTTGTCGCGCACGCGGCAGCCAGCAAGGGAAAAAAAATACCACACAGTTCGGCGCTGGCATCCGAAGACTGCTGGTGGTTCGTTCATCATGTGATGCACCGTCGTGAAAATTGAAATCCGAGAGTATGTATTTATAAGCAAGTTTGATATTTGATAGGGGACAGAAAATTTCGTGCACATGTATGGTACACAAACAAATGTGTGCAGAAACAAATCACCCACTACGCGAAATCGACGACACGCCCACTGTCGTGATAGCGCGCGGCACCGTACCAGACAACGACTCTTCCTCCGGGTCGTCGCCGTCCCCGTCAACCCCTCAAGTTCTGCGATGCCCACAAACCCCCAAGAGGGCAAGCGCAACAAGCCTGCTAGCCAAGAAAAGCGCTACATCCAAGTAGCAATCAACGCCAAACAGGAAGTCATGGTCGCGCCCCCGGACCTTCCAAGGGAAGAAACAAATCCTACAATCCAGTAGGATGAACATGCAAGCAATAATGAGTATAAAAGTCCTCGCAACATTCTTTTCCAATACCAACCCCTCGGTCTCGGCACATCATCATCGCGGAACAACAAGCTAATCGATCGGCAGAATCGTGCTTACGTCAGGCACGCTACCCGACCCCACAGTAATGCCACATACAGCTGATTTTAAAAGAATGCGTTTCAAGCCGATACGAATATTGATTGCAAGCCGTTCGTACACTACAACGCATGAAACCGCGAAAGGTTGAAATATCTGACAAGGACGGTTTCGTTTCGGCAACAACAAGTACTCCGCGAACAAGAAGAGCAAACAACGACAACTGCTGAGCCATCTCGTTTGTGGTTCAGCCGGGGGGCAAACTCTTTTGTTGAACAAAAACGCCAAGAGCAGCTGGAACGAAGGCCGAATACCTTCCAGCAGCCATGTTTACGGTCGGCGCGTCTTTTCCCGTTCATGCCTACAACCACTCTCTGTTGCAGGCCCATAAAAATCATACTGCTGTACCACCATCACTCCACCGAACAATCCCTCCGCGCAATGACAAGCTGATAAGCAAGGACAAACAAGTACCCAAGCGCAACACAGGAAAGACCGTAACGTGCAGCGAAAAAGAAACACCGAAAGAGACATAATATTTCGCCTCGCACATAACCTACAACACCTCGGCAACACCACCTCAACTTCACCTCGCAGGGTCAAAGTAGGAACTGCTGTACCGATGCAATTGGACCACAACACGCACGCACAAGCACCAACCAACACACGCCCGCCCGCCATATACAACGATCAAAAAGTACGTGGGTGGTTTCGGGGCACAAAGATAAAAGAGAACCGGAGCCGGCCTGGCCTTTTTCGACACTTGACTGGCGGACGCACGCGCGTCGTCATCACCAACACGTCCTGTCCCAAACATCTGCTACTATTGCTAACGCTAACGAGCCTGCCATGCTAAAACCACACTATTGCTAAGCTAAAAGCGGACATCATCGTGTGGGCGGCAGCCGTACACTAGCGCTCGCACCATGAGCCAGTGTTGGGCGGCGCATGCACGTCACCCAACGCTCTCGAGTCCGGGATGGACGCCACCAGTCCATTACACTCACGGACCCCCAAGCCTCATCATCGCATGTTTTCTAGAGCTCAGCATCCCAGTTGATGCTGCGGCGCGCCCCCTCCCCTTGCTGCCTGCCTCCTAGCGGCGCTGGATGAAACCTACCAGATAAACAAACATCGTTCCTACTCGAATCTGAAAAGTTTTTGCTGTTCCGGTGCCATACGGACCAAAACCACTGCGCAGGATGAGGGCCCAGCAATCAACGGGAAGAAGTCGTCAATCACCCGCCGCTAATCGCCCTCGCCTCACTGACACCAGTCCTTCAGTCCTTCGGCACCACTCTACTCCCACGACCATCTCGAAAGCTGACATACCGCCGCCGCCGGGCGAGACTGTGACAGCTGCAGGTACCCCAAGAGCCGACCGGCCCTACACCATTGTTCCGTGTCGACCCGCTGTCGCAGCCTCCGCCGCCGCGGCCGCCTCCCGCCCCTCCCGAGCCATCTCCTCGTGGTCCATGGCCAGGCGCTCGTCCATGTTCCCTTCGGCAATCATCTGCAGGGCCTCCTGGACATCGTTGTCCGTCTGCCTCAGCGCCACCCTGGCGAAGTCCCGGCTGATTCCCCACGAGACCAGAGTCTCGACCGCGCCGGGATCAACCGCGTAGTAAAACCCCGACACCTCGGACTCGTCGGCGGCCGTGAGCTCCACCATCCGCTCCACCCCGGCGCGATCTCGGATGATCGTGTGGCCCTCCTCCTCCGGCATGCTGGCCACGGCCGTCGCGTAACCCGGCAGCCCTCGCTGAGGCTCCAGCGGCGGCATGTCTTCCCCGTCGTAGAACCCGAAAACACGGTCGTCCTCTTCACAGTGGTGCCGATCTATTTCTTCGTCGCCGCCACCTTCGCCACCGCTGCCGCCGCCGCCGCCCACCACCGCCTTTCTTCCCGCAGACGAGGAGGCGTTACGGACCGGACACAGGAAGGACCCGGTCTCGTCACGCCGCCCAGAGGAGCGCAGCTTGCTCCGCCGTACGGCGAGGCAGATCCCGGCCCCGATCAGGAATGCCGCCGCGGCGGACGACGCCGCGATGGTGGTGATGGTCGTCCCGCCGCTCCCGCCGCCGTCGACGTCGAGGTCGCCGCCCTCCGGCACGTCGGTCTCTATCCCGCCGGCCGCGCTAATGTCGTCGTCGCCGCCCCCGATGTGGCTTACCCCGGCGCCGCTCCCCGTCGAGTCGCCGGATAACCCGTCCTCATCGCCGGCCATGCTGGTACCGCTGCCGCTCGTGCTGCCGGTGGCCGTCTCAACGGGGTCACTGGTCGGGGCAAAGATAACGTTATCCCCGGTGGGCGCGCCGCCGTCGTCGGCCGATCCCCTCGCAACCAGCACGGACGGGGCCGGCGTGGCCCCGTTAACCTCGCCGTCGGGGTCGGGCTCGTCGGTCCCCACCCCGCCCCCGGGGGTCGAGTCCGTCTCCAGCACGAGGTCCGTCCAGTTCTTTGACATTCCGTGTAGAACCAGGCCGCCGCCAGCCGCCGCGAGCCCGTACGCCTGGACGTCGGACTCCGTGAGGGTGCGCGCCCGCACGCCCACGACATGGTACCCTTCCTCGAGGTCGGAGCTCGGCACCGTGACCCGCTCGACCGGGTTCATGTAGTCCGCCAGGCCATTCTCGTAAGTGAACTCGTACTTCTCGGCGCAGGACTCGTCGTCGCCGCACATCGTCGCGATCGTGTCGTAGTGGTTGGAGCGGTAGTACCGCCTCGCGTCCACCGACATCACGAAAATGTCCAAGTCGTGGAGCAACTGTTTTGCGTGTTTCCGCCCAGCGTTAGGGTAATGGTTGTTAAGCGGCACGCAAGCATCGGAGGGGCCCAGCAACAACACAAGCAGGACAAGGACGGAAAACGGGGCAGAGGTCACTTCTTGCTGTGAAAGTCACGAGAATTTACAACGTTGGGAGCACCAAGACGGAGGAAGGTCGCAATACTCTCCATGGTCCAGCTGCTCGATCTCTGCCCACCATCACAACAACAGACACTGTGCCCGAACACTACTTGTACGAAAAAAGAGGACAAGAGGGCGAAAGGACAAACACAACACGACCCCTTACACGAAAACATATCCCCCGCTACATGACTACCCCCCCCCTCCCCCCCAACCCTCACCAACAAGCGGAAACCCTCCCGCGACAGAAAAAAAAACTCACGTTGTACGACGACACCGGGGACGGGGGGTCGAACCACGCTACCGTCACAGATACGTTCTTGCTCGCGTCCGACACGTAAACGAGGTAGTATTGGAGCTCGTCCGACGCTAGCTCGTGCTCGTGGTAGAACGCGCCCAATGGGGCGCCCTCGGTAGGCACCGAGGCCGCTAGCTGAACGGCCCCGAAGCCTTGGGCGAAGTCCAGCACCGACATGTATTGCGTCTTGTTCTCTGCGGTGCCACGCGCCCAAGGGAGGGATGAAGGAAAGGAGTGAAGGTTGGGGGAGGGTGTCTGTCGTCTACGGATGAATACGCGCGGTTTGATGCGGGTGGTGTTAGTGGAGGCGTTTCGTACCGCCGCCGCCGCCGCCGCCGCATCCTATGCCCTGTCACAATGTACGTGCAGAAGCACATGCCGAAACGTCGACATGCACCACGTAGAACCGTTCTACCGAACAGAGCAAATGCTGTCAACAAAATCGCTCCGTACGGATACCGCAAGCGTCGACTGAGTTTTTGCACACAAACAAAGTGGCGGCAGCAACCGCAGCAGCAGCGAGCAGCAACAACACACGAACACACGAACACACAAAGCGGTAGCGGCAACAGCAGCAGCGACCAGCAAAGCAGGAACCCGTTCCCCCCCTCTCCGACCCACCACCCCCCTGCTCGGCTCACCATACGACACCATCTGCATGTCCCCCAGCCACATGGCCGAGTTAACCAGGACGGCCTTCACCAGGTACCCCGAAGGCGCGAACGCCTCACACAGTCCCGCCTCCGCGTACACTCCCCCGGCAGCGGCAACGACCTCCTCGTTCTCATCGGTCCCGCCGCACAGCCCGGCACCGCCAAGGAAGCTCGCGAGGAACCCCTGCTCGAAGAACTGCCTCACGAGGGCGGCAGCGCCGGCCACCGCCGGCGCCGACATGGAGGTGCCGCCGAGGGAGTCGAGAGCGCAGGTCTCTTCGCCGGAGTCGGAGAGGGAGGCCTTGGCGGAGTGGACCATCAGGCCGGGGGCGACTACGTCCTGCCATGCGTGGAAAAAGAGAAGAGTTAATGATGGGGACTCGTTCGGCCGGAAAGGAGGGTGTGCTTTAGAGTCGACGTCCTGCCAGGTGGAAAGGCCAAAACAAACAAAATAAAAATGGGCACAGGGTGAACAACAACAAAATGACGTATAGTTCGGCTGAGTGTTGATGATTTTCCCATAGGGCGAAAAGCCTCGGTAAGGTTGCAGCAGCAGCAGCAGCAGCAGCAGCAGCAGCAGCAGCAGCAGAAAACCCGTCAAGTTCGAAAAACGGAACAGAAACAGCTGCGTGTTCAGTGCTGCAATGGTCAAACCAAAGCCCAAAAGTAAACGCTGCCAAACGCCATTGAACCCTCGTGGTGCCAGAAAAGACAACTGCAGCCATGATCGGCCATTTGACACTAAATATCTTCCACGAAATGTGATTTCGGGGTCTCTCCCGTACCGGTTTTGCGGTGAACCGTCCCACGGGCCCGCGTGCCGAGAAGGGGGAAACCTGGAACATCTCCTCGTCGCTGGGCCAAAGCACGCCGTCGAAGTTGGAGGTAGCATCATCGTAGTAGGCGTAAGCGCGACCAGGTCCGCTGTTGGAGGCGCCTGACGTTATTGATATTTGTTCGTGTTGAGGACGGCCAAAGAGACGTAGAGATACGGGAGTGGCGGGGGGGGGCGTGGATTACTTCGGAGTCCCTCAATAGGGCTCCCCCAAAACTAGCAAACAACAAAAACAATCATCAACCTAAACCAGAACACCAGCATTCAGTCATCTGATTGCTCGTGCAGCGCCCGGTCAAGCGACAACAACACAGACAACAGCAACAGCAGCAACCACAGCAACCCGGCTGTTGTGATTCACCAGAATTCTCTTCCCTTCCCCCCCGCAAAAAAAAAAAACGCGGTCTCTCTTCCAACACAACCACGCCTCCTACAGTACTGCACTGTTGTCTCAACCACGTATGCAGGAAAGCACCGAATCAGGCAGGATCCACAACCCGATACAAGAAGGCTATTCGACTACGGATAGGCATGAACTTCGTACAGCAAAATTCCTGCCTCAACACGAAGAAACAAAGACACAGAAAGCCTAGGATCGGAGTATTGTAGTGTCGTCGGCAAAAAAATAAAAAAATAAAAAAACCCACCCGCTGTCATGGCCGTCTTTCCAGTAGCGGGGCTCTGGACAGACCCCGGGTTGAATCCGTGGTCCTCGAAGCCGTTGTTGCCTGCACCGAACACGACGAGCGTGTCAGGGTGGTCGTGCACCCACTCGTCCAGCTGAACGTCCCTCGCGGTGGGCTCCGTCATCGTCACCAGAGACCACGAGTTGCTGATCACCCTGCGTTCGTGTGATTTTTTTTTGGGGGGGGGTATTTTGGCAAGAGTTGTTGAATGCCAATCCGCAGGAACAAGCTCTGTTTCGGGCACCAGCGACAGTCGCCGATCACAATGCGTTCATGTTTCAATATGTCTTAGCACACGTAGTCTTGGCATGCCCACCCGGAGCAACCTCTGCCATCGTCACCAGCGACCACGAGTTGCTGATCACCCTGCGCTCGTGATATTATTTGGGAGCAGAGGGGACACGTTGGGGGCACCTCTTGACCATCAACCCGGAGGACTACAGCAGTACGTGGAAAACGAATGTCCGGGGAAGGAGGATCGAGACTGGGGAGGGGGCACGGGACGACAGGGCAGAGAGCTGTGGGGGGGGGGGGGGGGGGGGGG